TTCTTTTTTTAAATCCATTTCTCTCCTTGTCTTACTGCCATTAGATACTGAAACCAACAAAATAGTCAATCAATCATCGAAACTTATCTTAGACAATTCTTTTACTCGTTGATTAAATGGTTTTTGAATACCTACTAGGTGCTGGGGACATAGCACTGAAAACAGATCATTTTAGTAAGCAAGCCAATAAATTTAAAAAATGTAGTATATTAGATGGGGACTGGTTCTATAGAGAAAAGTGAAAACAGGAAGAGGATGGGGAAGTGGGGATTTCTTTTTTTGGGGGGATGCACTTTTAGATAGAGTGGTCAAGGAAGGAATCACAGAGGCGGTGGTACAGGAGGGAAGAACTGAAGGAAGTGAGACTGAACATGGGCGAACTAGGGAAAGAGCATTGCAGGCAGAGGGAAGGGCAATGGAGAGAGGGAAACATGTTTGGCGTGTTCAAGGAAGAGAGAGGAGGTCAGCAAGCTGGGGCACAGCGCTGGGCCAGGAGAAGAGTTGGACATAAAAGGCAGTAGCAGGGATCTGGCAAATCATGTAGGGTCTTGTCGGTAACTCTGTCCCTTTCATTAAGGATTTTGGCTTTTGCTCTGTGATTGGGAGCCACAGGAGTGTTTTAGGTTGGGAAGTGATATGGTCTAACTTTAGTTTTTGACAACATCACTCTGGTTGCTGTTTTGAGAACAGTTGAGGGGGAAGCATGGGCTTTAGAAGTGGGGACACCAGCCAGGAGACTCTCTTAGTGACTCAGATGCAAGATGAGGTGACTTGGACCAGACTGTCAGCAGTGGAGATGAGGAGAAATGGTGAGGGACAATAACAGCAAAGGCCGTGATGAAGACTGGACCAGCTTTCTCTTCAAGTTGATAGAATGTTCTCTCATTAGCTCATCTCAGGGCAGTCCAGGGAGGACACCTGTCTTTGTATTCTCTGTACCTTTCATGAGTGGTCAGGTACCAATGGGGACATCCTGAGTGACAACCCTTCATCCCTTCTCTGGAGTTGAATTCCCATCCAAGAAGACAATACTTGACCCATGGTGAGTGGCAAATACACAACTCCCCTGTGTAAGGCTGGGAACAGAGAGAACTCAGGGTAGAGGGAGAGGCCAGAGTTTCAGCATGGTGCTGACAGAGATCTGCAGTTTTGGATAACATATCAGAAGTTCAAGAATATCCTTACAAGCTAAAGCTATCTAAGCTGTCTTTTTCAGGGACAATTGGAGATTTCTACTTGTTGGGTCTCCAAATGTCTGACTATGTAAGTATAGGAGAAAGACACAATCTCACAGTAAATAACGACAACAATAAAATCATTATCAATAAGAATAATGATTCTCAGGTGCTGAGGGAGGGTGACATGGGGAATTGCTGTTCAATGCATATAGTTTTAGTTATGCAACTTGAATAAGTTCTAGGGATCTACTGTAAAATAGATAATGATGTTTCATTATACACTCATGTATTCATGAAGTGGGTAAATCTCATGTTAAGTGTTCTTACACAATTTAAAAAAGAGAGGCCCTTTTGAGAAATTGGGGAAAATAGAATATTTGCATTAAATCATATTAATAATTAAATTATATCAATAAACTACTATATGGGGCTTGGGATACAGCTCAGCCTGTATGAGGCCCACGGTTTTGGTCTTCAGCACTGCAAATGACAACAAAACAAAATAAAATAAAAACAAAACAAAAACCTATAATTTTGAGGGCATGGAAATAGAATTTTTGGGAAAAAGAACTTCATTTGTTAGAGATTAAAAACAGATGAAGAAAATATAACCAAATGTTAACAATTATTAAATCCTGGAGATGGATATATGGAAGTTCAATCGACTGTGCTTTCTACTTTTCTGTATGTTCTAAATTTGTCCTGACAAAAGCCTTTTGAAAAGGATGAGAACAATGATTTCTTTTTATTGAGTATCTATCATGGATTATCTTCTTTATTCACATTGTCTTTTTGATTTGTTTTCCTTTCTATAGAGATTTTTTAGGCTTTTTATTGTGAAATAATTATAGGTTCACAGGAAGTTGCATAAATAGTAGACATAGACCCTGGATACTCTTCACCCAGCTTCCACTAAAAGTTAAATCTTGGGAAGGGAGAAGGTGGAGAGCAAGGGTAAGTACTGGGGACTTAATTGGAATAAATTATACTCCAGGAATTTATAATTATGTCAAAATAAATCATAGTATTATGTATAACTATTATGACTAATGAAAAATAAAATCTTACATAACTACATATAATATCAAAGCCAGAAAAATTGACATTGGTACAATATAGGTGTATATTTCTATGATTTTTCTTTTTCTTTGAGTTGTTAGGGATTGACCCTGAGGTATATCCCTAGCCCTTTTTATTTTTGAGACAGGGCCTCCTCAAATGGTTCGGGCTGGCCTCAGACTTTAGATCCTTCTCCCACCTCAGTCTCCCAAGTAGCTGGGATTACAGGAGTGAACACCCACTCTTGGCCATACCACATTTAGATGCTTGTCACCATCACCTCAATCAGGACACAGAACCATTCTATAACCCCTCAGATCTCCCATGTGCTACCTACACTTCCTTTCCTCCACAAGCCTTCACCTCTAGTGGTCTCTTCTTCATCTCTTCATCATTTTGATAATGTTATGTGAATGGAATCATATAGTATATAACCTTTCAGAACACCCAGTAAGTATCCCATTTAAGAGTCAAATTCCTTCTGTAAGAATCCCTCTCCTTTTTCCATGCAGCTTCTTAGTCATTCATAATATGATGACTATATTTTCAAAAGCAAAAATGAGTATGTAAAAAACGTGGATGTGTAACCGACGTGATTCTGCAATCTGTATACGAGGGAAAAATGGGAGTTCATAACCCACTTGAATCAAATGTATGAAATATGATATGTCAAGAGCTATGTAATGTTTTGAACAACTAATAATTAAAAAAAGAGAAACAAACAAACAAACAAAAAAACCAAAAGCAAAAATGAGGGCAGGATATGTCCATTAAAACATCTATACTGGGGATCAGAGTGTAGCTTAGTGGGACACTGAATGCTTAGCATGTACAAGGTCCTGGGTTCAATGTCCATAACCCCCCAGAATCTGAAAGGAATATCAGAGCAACATAATTCATCATGGCCTAAACATGGAACAATCAAATATCCATCAACAGAGAAATGGATGCATGAATCCTGGTATATTCATACAATTAAATACTAGGCAGAAACAGAAAAGAATGAACACAGACATACACAACAATTCGAATGAAATCTTACAGACTACTTTAAGTTAAAGAAATCAGGGACAAAACAAAATAATGCATAATTTTATTTACATGTGGTACAAGAACAGGCAAAACTAATTGATAGTGATAGAAGTCAGAATAGTAATAACATCTAGAGAAGGTGTATTGACTGGGAAGGAACATGAGATAACTTTTGGGGGGTGCAGGAAATATTTTATATCTTCATCGGGGTGTAGTTATATGTATGTAAAATATTTTTAAAATTAATTCTTAGTAGGAAGTTTAACTGGAAGTTTAACTGGAACTTATTGGGAGGGCAATTGCCTATCATGTGAAAAGCACACACACACACACACACGCACACACAATAAATAAAGTTTAAGACTGATTTGTTTTACACCATTTACTGTATAAATGTTATACTTCAATCTTAAAAGAATCAGAGCATAGACTTTTATGAAGATGAGTCCTAAGGGCAGTAATGGAAGGCTGATGTTTAAAATTAAGAATGTTGGGGCTGGGATGTAGTTCAGTGGTAGAGCATATGCTTAGCATATGTAGGCTCTGGGTTTAACACCTACTATCCCTACCCCAAATCAGAACTGTTTTTGGACAACTACCAAAGTGTAATGATAACTATACATATAAAATGTCCACCCCACCTCCTCCAGTGGGAAATGTAGTCTTGCGTCTGTCCTATATTTTCATCTTGTAAATGAATTTATGGCTCAGGGCGTCTAATAGAAGTTGAATAAAACAGATTTCATACTTGTCTCCTCTTTTGCAATAGAAACCGTATCTTGCTTATCTTTGCAGCACCTGGCACGATGTGTGTAGAAAGCAGGAATGTTCAGGAACACACAGCCAATGGAGCATTGGTTCTCAAATTTGTTTGCACATAGAAATCACTTGGAGGATTTTTTTTTTTTTTTTTGGTGGTCGTGGTGGGTGTGCTGGTGATTGAACCCGGAGTGCTTTTACCACTGAGCTACTTCTCCAGCTTTTACTTATTTATTTATTTTTATTTTGAGACAGGGTCTCATCAAGTTGCTGAGGGAATCGCTAATTTGCTGGCCTCCCTTGTGATCCTCCAGCTCAGCCTCCCGAGTCCGGAGAATTTGAAAATTTGCTGATACCTCAGAGATTCTTATTTAATTGGTAACTTGTGGGGCGGGATCTGCATCTCAGTTAGTTTTTCTTCCACACTGGGGGGCTTTGCCACGTTGCTACATTCCCAGCCTCGCACCCTTTTTTTCTTTTAACTTTTTTACTTTTGAGACAGGATCTTGCTAAGTTCCGCAGGCCCGCCTAGAACTTAAGGTCTCCCAGCCTCAGCCTCTAAAGCTGTTACCGTTACCGGCGGGCGCCGCAGTGCCCAGATGGGAATCGAGTTTTGTTTTGTTTTGTTTTAAGAGTCCCAGGTAGTTTCAAGGTGCTACAGAAACAAAGGGCCGCAGTTTGGGGGTGTTCTTTCACCTTCACGCATGACTTACGCGCAGGTGGGTGCGAAGGTCGCTGACTTGGATCGCCAGCCCCTTCCCTACACCAAACACGCTCAAACTTCCCGGGGATGACCCCACGAGTCTTGAAGTCTAATCAGGCTGCAGGCGCTCTGCACACCCGACACCCCTCTATGGTACGTAGGCGTCCCCTCTAGCATTTGAAAGTCGCCTTCCCCCTCGGCCAGCCGGCAGCTCCCTCTCTATGGTAGAGGATTTCCCAGCAGCGCCTCAGTGGTATTTCTTTCCGGATCAAAGAGGAGGCGGGACTTCTCTCCCGGAAGTGGTCCACGTGCTTCCGCCGTGATCTATTTGGGCACCCGGCAAGTTTCTAGTATTTGCTTAAATTGGCGACACGGTGGGCACTGTGTCTCGCACCAATCTGTGGTGAGTGAGTCGTGGCCTTTGACCTCATGGTTTCTGAGGTAATGGCATCGCCATTTCGGAAATGTAGCCGTTGGACCGGGGTCCGCAGCACCTCGTTTTCAGCGTCGAGTCCAATTTCCAGGGCCCTAGAGGTTGGGACCCGCGGTTTTTGTGTTCCTCCGGTGTCTCGATCTTTTCCCGGATAAGGGTGACCTCAGGGACAGGGTTCAGGGCTCGGGGGCTCGTTTTCCAGGACCTTCAATGACATCCTGAGTGACCTTGGGCTAGGCACTGACCCTTTAGGGCTTTTTCCCCCACTTCTGGGAGAGGGATGGTTAAAGCTCGTTGGCTCCTGTTGGTCCCACGCCCTGTGATTCCTCGGAGTCCGCTAGCCCCTGGGAGGGAGGGTGAACGGGAGTGGGTCGGTGCTGAAGCTGATGGCTGCTCCTAGGACTAGAAAACCAGGAGGAGGTTCCCTGCACGGTGCTGGGCCGAGATGGATCCGCTTAGGGCCCAACAGCTGGCAGCTGAGCTGGAGGTGGAGATGATGGCGGACATGTACAACAGGTAAGGAGAGCCTCTCTGCGCTAACCTGTGTTGGAAAATTAGCCCTGATCACCCTTCACGAAGGCAGAGGTGGATGTCTTCTAACAGATGCGTTCCCCTCACTGTGGGGAACCTTGAGGCCTGCCTTCCCCATCCCCACCCCATATTTGGTACTAATGTAGATGCAATATAGAGTCACTACAAGGACTTGGGAGTTTGGTTGGGATGGAACTGGCATGAAGGAGCAAGAGCAAGAAGAGAAGCTCTAAGAGTCTCTGGTTAGTTTTCAAGAACAGTTAAGGCCGGGTGTGGTGGCACACACCTGTGGTCCCAAGTAGCTCAGGAGGCTGAGGCAGAAGGATTGCAAGTTCAAAGCCAGCCTCAGCAACTTAGCGAGGCCCTATCTCTAAATAAAATATAAAAAAGGGCTGGGGATGTGGCTCAGTGGTTAAGCTCCTCTGGGTTCAATCCCTGGTACCAAAAAAAAAAAAAAAAAAAAGAACAGTTAAGCATTTCCTTTAGTAGTTAATATTTACTCTGTCAGGCATTTGTCAAGCTTTTTATATGCACTATCTTTTTGTTTTTCCCTTTGGTGGTACTAGGGATTGAACACGAAGGCACTTTAACACTGAACTACATCCCTAGCCCTTTTTATATTTTATTTTGGGCCAGAGTCTAGGTTGCCCAGGATAGCCTTGAAATTGAGATCCTCCTGCTTCAGCCTCTGGCTTCACTGGGATTATAGGCATACTCTACTGCACGCAGCTGCATTATCTTTTTTTAATTCTTAAAATAATCCAGTGGGTTAATTTTATTAGTCCCATTTTAAGAAGAGGAAATTGAGCCTTCTACAAGTTAAAAACTTCATTAGGGCCCACGCAAGTCAGTAGCAGTGTCAGGTCTAGTACGTCAGTATGACTCCACAATTGGTGCTCTCAATGATTTGGCAAATCTGGGAATAGTCCTGGCTCCACCAGGGATTATACTATTTGATAAACATTTCCTTATCTATAAAATAGACATATAATAGTACCCACCTCATAGAGACATTAAAAACACTAAATACAAAGGGCCTTTGCATCAAGCCCAAACAGGAAACAATCACATATTTGCTACTTTTATCAGCTCAAGTTCTCTGAATTGTTTGATTTGGTTTTGGAAGTTATAGATTAGAATGATTTGGGGGGTAGGTACCAGGGATTGAACCCAGGGATGCTTAACCACTGAGCCCCATCCCTAACTTTTTTTTTTTGAGACAGGTCTTGCTAAGTTGTATAGGGCCTCGCTAAGTTGCTGAGGCTGACTTTGAACTAGTGATCCTCTTGCCTCAGCCTCCCGAGCTACTGGGATTACAGGCGTGTGCCACCACGTCCAGCAGAATGATTTTTAGATGTAAACTGTGAAGTCAGACTGCCTAGTTCTATGTGATCCTCAACAAATTACTGAGTCTCTCTGTGCCTTAATTTCCTCATCTGTACTATGAGGATAATGATGTGCCTATCTCACAGAAGTATCAGAAGGATTGCATAAAAAGAATCTATGTAAAGCTCTTAGCATGAGGCTTGTTATACATCCAGCATTCAACAAATAGTCATTGTGTCTGGGCTCAAAGGAGGTTCCTACTCTCTGAAAACTCTCCAAGATGTTTGAAGTGCAAAATGAGGATTCACACTGTTTTCTTGGGGGAGATGAAATCAGTATACAGGGTTGGAATGACTGTGGGTTCCTGGGATGCCACAGGATGCTGCTTGCTGGACTTTATCCTTCTCTCTCCCCAGAATGACCAGTGCCTGCCACCGGAAGTGCGTGCCTCCCCACTATAAGGAAGCAGAACTGTCCAAGGGCGAGTCTGTATGCCTGGATCGATGTGTCTCCAAGTACCTGGATATCCATGAACGGATGGGCAAAAAGTTGACAGAGTTGTCTATGCAGGATGAAGAGCTGATGAAGAGAGTGCAGCAGAGCTCTGGTCCTGCATAAGGTCCTCAGACAATATACACCTGGGGTGCACCTTGCTCCTCCCATTTGTTTAATAAAAATGCCCCTATTGGGTGTCGAGTGAAGACTGCCAGGCCTAGGCTTTCTCTGGAGCATCTCCAGGAGCCCTGGGTGTGGTAGAACTGTCTTGTGGAAGGGATAGTTGTCACACTGGTATGTGACTTGTGTATGTTTGTGTGTATGTGTATATATATATATATATGTATATTAAAGCAAGTTTGTTGACACCTACTATGTTTAAAGCAGTATGCTTAGTGTTTGGAAATTAAAAAAATCAAACACAGCCTCTACCAGCAGAGGGAGTCCAAGATAGTGTTTTAAGAGTGTGAACAGTTAAAGGCTGGGGATATAGCTCAGTTGGTAGAGTGCCTGCCCTGCATGCATAACACACACAAAAAAAGTATGAACAGTTAAGATAGCTTAGATTTGCACCTGGGATCCGTCTCTGGCTGTGTGACCCTGAATGTGACATTTCTCTGGGCTTTAGCTTTCCCATCTGTAAAATGGGGATGATCAGAGAGCTATTGTGGAGATTAAGTGAGTTAATATGAGAAAAACATATTAAATGCTTTGCTGACAATAGCATAATGACTCAGGTGTAGGAAGCACTAACTAAACATTTTTTAAAAATTTGAAATTAAGTGGAGAAAAGCAGGCATTTCCACAAATGATAGAAAGAAAAGATGTAAAGGAGAGTGTGAAAAGTAGATGGGATTTGATAGAGGGCAATGTCAAGTTGAGGGACCCAGCTTCATGGGAATCCAGGCAGAGACTGAGTAACAGCCACTGTCATTCAGTGTTCACCTGAGTCAGACTCTGCTCCTCACCCTTCATACAATATCCAAGCTAATCCACCTGTCTGGGCTAAAGGCCTTATTGAGAAATGGAGGTTCAGAGAGGTGGCTGCTTGCAGGTCATGCAGGTGGAGCAATATTGTGGAGGCCAGGGTTTATGCTTCATGTGCTGTCTTACTTGGTGGAGTACAGCAAGCTTACATCCTGTCTGAGGAGCCCCCTTAGAGGACTGTACAGCTTTTAGACATGTGCGTTGTGCCAGGTGGGATTTTGGTTGACCCCGTGGCACCTGTAGCAGTACCATCAGAGTGGGTCTTCATGGTGGAGATGTCTGGGATGGAAGTAGGTTATTGGAGATGGAGTAAAGGAGAGAATAGAGGCAGTGAATTTTGGGCTTATAAGTGCAGGTTCAGGCCAGACTGACTGGGTTTGAGTCCTCACAGATTTTCTAGCTGTATGATCTTGGGTGGGCATTTAACTGCCTCATTTAACCCCCTAATAAAAGTATTGAGATGCCCAACTGGGTGGTCATCAAATTTAACCATTAATAACTAAAACACTTTGAAAAGTGCATACCTTATACTAACCCATTTTGTCTCATTGTCCCCGATGTGAAACTTAAAAAAACAAACTAACAAGTATTAGCCTATTTTAATGTACCTGTGTTGAAATATTTGTAAAATTGAAAATTTGGGACTTAGTGGTTTATGTATTCAGTAGTAGCTCTTTTCATTGCTAAGTTTGGCAGGAGGTGGAGACCCCAGATGGACCCCTGTAAAACTCAAAACCATTGTCTTGCCTTAGGCATAGGCAGAATGTTAAGGCTCCTTTCCAGGTACTGCAGTACAGTTTGGGCCAACAGGTGGCACTGTCTGCTCACAGGTCTGCCTGCCTTGGACAGTTCCATAAATGTTTATCACTTGTTCTCTGCTAGTGTCATACTTGGAAGAAAGGGACAGTGGTGAGGCAAAACTGTACCTGACCTCAAGTTTATCCAGGAATGGCAAGAATTCTCCATGCATAGCTGGAACAGATAGAAGTGTGGAAAAGAGGTTTCCACTGAGTAATAGCACTTGCGAAGGCTTTGAAGCAGCAGAAATGGGGAGTACTTGTACTGAGGAAGCAAGCCACAGCAAGGCTGGGATGTTGAGTGTGAAGAGAGGTGGAGCTGAGAGACAGGCCTTGAGGGCTGGGAGGTACAGTTCCTAAAGAGCCTAACTGTGTTAAGGGGAATTTGGATTTTTTCCTACTAAGAGCATCAGCAAAGAGTTGACGGAATTAAACCCTTCAGTGACAATGACATCTGCATTTTAGAGGCTCACTCTCACTATCAGCCAGGCAGATAAGTGGTAGGTGATGGTAGGTAATGGATTAAAGGGAGACGTGGCAAGGAGGCAGTGAGGAGGGAAGGGATGATGGAAGAATGGCTTAGTTTATTGAGTTGCAATAGCACACTAAGCTCTGTGCTAAGTCCCTTAAGTACATAATTCCAATTAATCTTAACCACAGCTGTGTGAGGTAGGTGTGAGTATTCTCATTTTACAGATAAAGACGCTTGAGAATCAAGGGTTAGTAACTTGCCTAAGTCATGCAGCAAGCAGGTAGCAGAGCTGGGGTTCCAATTTAGACACCAGAGGCCACTTTAACCATTACCTTAGGATTGAGGGCAATGGTCCCTAGTGGGAAATATGTCTGCAGTTTCACATTTTGTTTAACAATATTTGTTATTGGCCTGCTACATGCAGGATGCTATGGCAAAATGTCCAAAGTGAGTTAGCTAGACCCTGTCCCCAGTGTGCAAGAGTGCTGGCTGGGGTGGAGAAAAGGAGAAATGGAGTTCACACTTAAAGGGAGTAAGAAAAATGGATTAGGCCCTTTCTGCCTAGGAAAGAGTAATAAATTCTTAATCCTCAAATGTGTTTTTGCTTGATTATCAATTTTAAATATCAGGAAATGTCTCATAAAAATCTGCAATTCGGTGTTTTTCAAAAAGTTAGATGAAGCTAGGCACAGTGGTGCATGCCTGTAATCCCAGCAATTTGGGAGGCTGAGGCAGGGGGATCACAAGTTTGAGTCCAGCTTCAGCAACTAAGTGAGACCTTGTTTCAAAAAATAAAAAGGACTGGGTATTTAGCTCAGTGATAAAATGTCCCTGGGTTCAATCTCAGTACAAAAAAAAAAAAAAAAGGATCTGACAGTAAGTCAACCTGCATTCCTGGTTGGCAGCAGTCTGTAGGATGGGAAGAGACTTGGCCATTCACCAAACCTACCACCACTAATTTCTTCTGTCCTTCTCATCATCTGCTTGACTTGCAGGCATCTGGTCTGGGTCTTTAGCTCTGGGTGTTGAGATGAACTGGATGCTACATGAGAAAACATGTTAAATATCTGTAATAGGCAGCTTGAAAGATCACTGGAACCTCCCTTGAGTATGTACTATACCTTCAGACTTGCTTCTAATAAACAGAACTGGCAAAAATGAGGGGATACCAATCCAAAGTTAAGTTACTGGTGGGACGCTAACTCCAAGGTTAAGTTACAGAAGATTGCAATGTCTAGTAGTGCCTCTCCCTGTCTTTCTCTTTTCTTCCCTTCCTCTTGCTTACTCTGATGAAGTTAAGCTTATTTCCATGCTGTGAACTGACCTGTGAAGAGGCCCATGTGGTTAGGAACCAAGGGCAGCCTCCAGCCAACAGCCAGCAAGGATCTGAATCATCCACCATGTAAGTGAGTGTGGACGCAGATCCTTCCCCTGCCAAGCTTTCAGAAGACTGCATTCCTGGCCCACACTTCGCAGTGTGTAAGAGACCCTGCAGCTGATCCACCTAAGCTGCACCCTATCTCCTGACCTACAGAAACTGGGATAATGTTGTTTTAAGACAACATGTTTTGGGGTCATTTGTTACTCAGCAATGGATAATAAATACATGTATAGATAACGAATACACAACTGATGCAATTGACCAAGACTGGTCATTTCACACCTATACCTAGAATGTGCCAGGTACCATTCTAGGCACTTGGGATGCATCAATAAACAAAATAGATAAAGATCCTTGCTCTCTTGGAGAAAGAAAAAAAAATATATATATATGGTTTCACATAGAAGTCTGGGTGAGCAGTACTGTTCTGAAAGGAAGACAGCTCCTTCAGCATTTGGGGAAAGCTTCATAACCTCTTTCAGGTTTTAGACAATTAAAAAGCTGGCAAAGTGGGGCATGCTTGTAATCCCTGTGACTTTGGCGACGGAAACAGGAGGAAATTTGAGGCCAGCCTCAGCAATTTAGCAAGGCCCTAAGCAACTTTTGATCCTGTCTCAAAACAAAAAAACTAAAAAGGGCTGAGTATGTGGCTTAGTGGTTAAGTGCCCTTAGGTTTAATCCCCAGTATCAAAACAACACAAACAACAACAAAACCCTTTAAAAAACTGTGAACCATTTTCCCAATGCATGTAGGATTTTTCATGCAATTATAGAGATTTTCATAAAAGCTTTTATGGGCTGACCTGAGAGGAGTCTTGAGACAAGTATTGTTTTAGGTGCTGAGGCAAAGAAGAAACAAGATTTTAAAAAATTAGAATGGGAGACGTGTTAAAAACAGGTGCTTTCTGTGATAAGTGTTAAAAAAGATGTTTAGGGAGTGTGGAGCTATATAAAAGAAGGTTCGTGCACCCTCTAGCCTAGGTGCTCAGGGAAGGCTGCCTTACAGAAAGTGATCAGTGTTTCGAAGGATGGGTAGGAATTTGCTAGGAAAGGGGTATTGGGTGGGAGTATAGTATGAAGAAGGTGGGTACAGACACTTGACTCTGAGCCATATAGTCCATCAAAGGAAACAGACACAGATTGGAGTTTTGTTAAAGGGGAAAGTCAGTTGTTATATAGGTCACAAAGCAAAGGGATCTATCAAACAAGTTATTGTCCTTGCAATCAGGCACTAAAAGGAAGTGACCATTAAATCAAGATCTGAAGGGCTGGGTACCAGGACGCAAACCTATAATCTCAGCTTTTCTGGAGGCTAAGGCAGGAGAATCACAAGTTCAAGGCCAGCCTGGGAAACACTCCAAAACCCTTTCACAATAAAAACTATTTAAACAACACTGGGGATGTAGCTCAGTGGCAGAGTGCTTGTCTAGCGTACTCAAGGTCCTGGGTATGATCTCTAGTACTGGGGAAAAAAAAAAAAGTCTGAAGGATTGCTTAGTGAGGCCAGAGCAGGGGAATGTTCCAGCCCAAGAAGAGCTTGAGGTGAGAGAGAACATGGAGCATTAATGAGCAGGAAGCAGGTTACCATGGTGAGAACAAACACAGGAAAGAGACTAAAAAGGAGGGCTGCGTGCAGCAGGTGACTCAGGTGACACAGGACTCAGGGGCTGTTATTGAAGTCTGTCATGAGAAGGGTCCTCAAATGTCATTTCCTCAAGGATCATGAGAAGCATCTCAAGGGAAATGACCCAATCAAATCTGCATTTCTAGTAGACTATGCCCACTGGATAGTTGGTCATGTGCAGGGGTGGAACTGGGAAAGCCATGTTGGAAGGATGGCAAGAAGTCCAGTCCAGAGCTGTGGACTCGGGTGGGGGAGTGAGGGAGCCTGGGAGGGCTATGTAAGGAGGTGTGGGTCTTCAGAAGGTAGGAGCCACAGGCTCGCAGGCAAGTTGGCTATGGAGAAGGAGACAGCAAAGTCTGGGATGATTCCAGTTTGGTGGCTTAAGCCCTGGGAGAGACGGTGCTTTTACTGACCCAAGCAACAATGGAGGAGAAGCAAGTTGTTGGGGAGGAAGGTCAATTTTGGTCACTCGAGATTACTGAGCATGCCTGTGGTCTTAGAAGATTGTGCTACATTCTCCCTCATCCCATGTGGGTCATCCATGCTGGTCCTCATCTACCTCCCAAAACCTCAGGTGTCCTCCTGGTGTAGGACAGTTCATGTACTGTTTCTTCCTCTTGGGGGTTGATAAATCCTACTGACACTACCCCAGAAAGCTATTTTCAGATCACAGCATACACATCAATCACCCTTAGACTTCCCCATGACCACCCTCTCCCATCTAGATCAACTCCCACCCATGATATGTTCCCACAGCAGTGTATCTTTATCCTCCATGGCACTTCCTGTAGATGAAATTACACTCAATGTGTAACTATTTGACTCATTTATGCCTCTGTCCCACTGGCTGTTCTCTAATGATAGGGCTTATATGTCTTCTTCACCATCCAATCTCTAGTTCTTGATGTATATGAAGATGTATATGAATTTTTTTAATTGAGATATAACTCACATACCAAAAAAATTCTCTCTAAATTTTAAAGTATATGATCCAGTATATCTTAGCATATTCACAAAGCTGTACAACCATCACCATTATCTAACTACACAACATTTATTGCCAGAAGAAGAAATCCCATAACCATTAGTAGTCATTTCCCATTTCCCCTCCTGTAGTTTCTCACAACCACTAATCTATTTTCTGTCTCTATGGATTTGCCTTTTCTGGGCATTTTATAAATGCAATTGTATGTGGCTTTCTATATCTGGCTTCTTTCACTTAGCATAATTTTCAAGGTTCACCTATGTTGTAGCTTGTATCCATACTTCATTCCTTTTTATAGTTGGATAACATCATATTGTATGGGTATTCCACATTTCATTTCTCCATCAGTTAATGGATAATTGGTTTGTTTGTGCTTTTGACTATTATGAATAATATGGCTCTGAACACTGTGTAAGAGCTTTTGTGTTGACCTATGTTCTCAGTTCTCTTGGGTATATATCTAGGAGAGGAATTACTGGGTTACAATGGTAAGTCTATGTTTAACTATACAAATAGGATATGCCAAGTTGGTGTTTTAAATCGGCTATGTAAGTTTTTTGACATTCCTCATGCAAAGTTTATAGTACGTATTTTTAAGGCTAAATAGCTTCTCACAGAATGAATTCAATCAGGTACTATTATTTTCAGCACTTAAAAAAGCAGAATGAAGCTCAGGAGATAAGTGACTTGGGCAAAATCCACAATTTATCAGTTGCAGAGCCAAGATTTAGATCCCACCTGACTCTTGAGCCAGTGCTCTTGTCCAGTAAGCTGTGGAGTAGTCTAGCCAGGAGCCCACATGAGATCCAATGGGATAACACTGCTTTACTTAAGCTATGGCCAGTATCAGGAAAACAGTCTAGGAAGGGAGTTTTATTTTTGGAGCTAGAGGAAGAAAGAGGTTGATAAATCCTATTAATTTGGGTATAGAAGTATATCTTAGTTCTCTTCCTTTGCTTCCCTGTTTTTTAAAATCTGAACTGTTTCAGTGGCCTCCTAATTGCTTTGATTCTCCTTTCCAATATGTCCTCCATCATTAAACACATGAACTTGACCATATCTATCCCATTTATTAGGAAAAAACAAAACAAAACACACCAAAAATCTGCCAAAAATCCAGGAGTTCCCATCACCTTCTTCACAGCACTGGAAGTCCTTGACCTCACAGAGGTCATTCCAAGGTGGCCCTAGCCTACCTTTTCAGCTTAATTTCTCACTACTCCCTTTTCATGTATTCAACAAATGTTTACCCTGGGTGTTTTACATGCCAGGTCCTGTGATAGGCAGCAGGAATACAAATTACCTATAATGTGGTCATTCCTGCCTCCGAGAAATTGATACCTCATGTGATGGGGAAAGGGAGGAAGGAACAGAACTTCCTTGTAGATGTCTGTGTGGGCTTCAATGGAGGTCAGCACAGTGTTTGGGGGGATCATTTGGGCAAGGCCCCTAACACAGCGTAGGAGGTCACACAGCTTCCAGACAGATATGAAACTTGAGCTGAATTGTGAAGGATGAATATATTAGAAATGAAAAGGAGAATCTGTCATTCCATCAAGAAGGAGTAGCAGGTGCAAAGATAGGGAGGTGTCAAACCAGCTGGATGGACCTTTGGTTGTATATGTGCTCACTGAGAGCTTATTAGGTACCAGGAGCTGTGGATACCCAGGCAGTGAACACAACAGACAGGGCCTTTGCCCACAGGGAGCTGGTACTTCTAGGGGTAAAACTGTGGAATGCAGGCTGGGATGAGCAAGGGCAAGCCTCCCTGTCATGGGGGTGTGTGGGTTACCAGAATCTCATGGGGGGGAGGTGTCCACAAAACCCTGAGATTTTGAATGTACCAGTATTTTCATAGAGTGGATTAACAATATTTTATTGTTTTCTCCAGGGCATCCATGACCCTCTTGGGTTAGAACATTTATTCTAGGTCTTCTTGTGCCGAGCTACGAAATTTAACCTTGACCTGAAGTTCTGGTAGCCAGTTTATTTATTTATTTATTTTTATTTATTTATTTATTTTTTTGTGGCACTGGGGACTAAACCCAGGGTCTCACACATGCTAGACAAATGCTTTACCACTGACCTACACTGCTTGCTCCCGTGTTGCATTTTAAGAAGTGGAATCATCAAAGCCTGACTAGGGCTTTTGCCAGGGAGAACATCCCGTGCCTTTTCTACTGCTAAGCTTTTGCTTCTGTCATTTCCCCGCCTAGAGGATTGGAAAGAGCAGTGCTTAGAGCCTGACAGATCTGACCATGCGTCCTGCCTCCAACTACCACCTGGCAGCCTCGAGTATTCTCCCTGAGTGAAGTTATGATGTCTGAATGTGTATTCTTCTTCTTCTTCTTTTTCTGTTGAAAGTCTCCAACATATGGTCACCACTTGGCAATGCTCTTCTCTTGGCTTGGTGGCTCAGCTGCTCAGGGGTCCTGTCTTGTCTGAGGCTTTTCTTGGAACTTTTTGTGTAATTGCTCATCCTATCAAAGAGCTTTACAAGCATCACTAAGTCTTCTGAAATAATAACAACAGCGACAGCAACAATTAACATTTATTATTCTTACTATGCTAAGTGCTATACCCAGCTTTTTGCCCGCATCATAATCCAGAATCCCTTCTGGCAGATAGGTAAATTCTATTGTCATCTGAATTTTCAGAGAAGGTAACTAAAAGCTCAGAGAGGTTAAGTAAGTTGCCCAAGATACCCCAGGCTAGTCAGTTTCAAAGTCGAGATTCCGACCTGGACAGAAGGAAATCCAAAGAAACCTGTGTCATTCTGCCTCTTGGAAAACTCTACTTCCAACTGCACAGTTCAAAACCCCACCCAAGCCAGCTTAGTATCCCAGTTGGTCGGCTCCAGCAGAGTCGTCATTCTTTGTTTTGTCCAAAGATGCAGAAGGCGTGCCAGATGTTAGCCCGGGAGGACAAGGGAGAAGGTGGGGGTCGAGGGTGTAAATTCAGGAGCTGGGGTGTGTGCGGGAGCTTATCTGGGGACTGACAGGCGAGTCACGTGCATGTGAAACTCGACCTAGGGGGAGGGGAAAGGAAGGGAGCTCCCGCCCCTACCTCGGGGCGCAGCTCCAGACGCGTGTAAACACAACTATCAATTCGATAGATCACTTCGTTCCTACCCCGCTTCGTGGATCCGTGGCGCCCGGCAGGTTCCAAGCTCCGTGACTTCTCCCAAGAGGGCGGAGGAGTCGAGACCACTGGGCTGTCGGGCTGCAATTTCAAGGCCCCCGGGTCCAAAGAGCAGAGAAGACCTCAGCGTGCGCGCAGATCAGGGCTGGGCCCGCCGGTCCCAGGACACCCGGAGTGTGGACGTGCTGCCAAGGGTCTGAGCTCCAGGGGGCGTTCGCAGCTGCAGAAGGCGCGTTTGCCCGCGACCCGAGGTGAGCCGCGTGTGAGAATCAGTGTCTTCAGCTGCAAGTCCGCTGAGAGCCACCCGGGCCGGTTCCGATAGACTCCCAGACTTCTCAAGAAAAGCCCGTTACCTGAGCTCTTGAGCCCTGCGGCCCATTATCCCCTCTCCAAGCGCGCCCTTCCCTCCTCTTTAACCTGGCCCAGTGGACTCTGGTGTTCCTCTCGGCCCCCCTTCCTGCACTTCCTCTGTTTGGCGCGACACTTGTCAGGAGAGACCTCCGGGAGCCCCTGAATCGAAAGCCCCTATTTCACAGATAAGGGTACTGAGGCTCTCCCGCCTCCCGGGAGAAGTGACTCGTGCTTCCCACCCCTTGATCTTGGGCTTTCTATTTTGCCCTTCCCAGTTCCTCACCTCTCCGCCTTCCTCGGTCTTACCCCATTTGTCTTGTCGCTCCCGCCCCCGCGCTGACGGCCCCTGGTCTCCTCCCGCGATGGCTGTAGCCTTTCTCCCACCTCTGGTAAACACATTCGCCCGCCCGCCAACCCATCCGCTGCCACTGCCCTTATAAAGTCAGCTACCATCGGACTTCCTGCCTAAGCCTGAGCCCCCTTCCCTGGCTGGGGGGAGCTGGCGGGCTCCTAGGCGCGCGACTTAAATCGGGTCGCCTTGGGAGTGAGTGAGGGGCGCGTGGGGACGCCACATTGCCAGCCCTGGGTCTCCCTCCACGTGGCAGCTGTTGGATTGGCCCATGAGACTGTAGGGACACGGATCGCCTGGTGCAGCAAGCAGAGGACTTATTCTCGCCTGGCGTCAGAGGAGAGGAGTGGACTGAGAGGGGCAACAGGAAAGAGAGGTCCTTGGTTAGCCTCAGACTTCCCTTTCCTCCTCCTGCCTGCTTCTGGGGGGGTCTTTCCTGGGGCAAGAGGCCAAAGAGGCCAGACATGGGCTAGGGGAGGCTTCAGGGCGCGCTTTGTACCTTACTGAATTTTGGAGACTTGGGGAAGTTCTGGTTTGGCCTCCAAGAGCTGGCTCTGCGCGCCATGGCCTGGGTGGGAGAGCCCGGCAGCACGCCAAGAAGCTTCTGTGCGCAGACAGGACCTTCCTTGTTTTTGATAGTGGCCCGGCGGGAACCCAGCGCCGCGTGCGTTCCTGGCACTGCCAGAGCGCGCCGAGCCAGCTTGGTAGAACTGGCTAGGAAGCTCTGGGTTCTATGGGCCTTCCATGAAGGTTCCATCGCAGGGTGGCACAAGGGATCTCAGGAGCTACCATGATGCAGTACCCTTCTCAGGGGCCGTTGGGAGGTCCTTCGCTCAGCGTTCTCTTTCTCTGCAATCTCTCGGCCAGAATGGCCCCCACGTTGCAACAGGCGTACCGCAGGCGCTGGTGGATGGCCTGCACCGCTGTGCTGGAGAACCTCTTCTTCTCTGCGGTGCTCCTGGGCTGGGCCTCCTTGCTGATCATACTCAAGAACGAGGGCTTCTATTCCAGCTTATGCCCAGGTATGCTGGGGTCGTCTGGGGAGGGACCGCAGAGGGAGGAGGTGGAAGCTGAAAAAGACTATAGGTAAGGTAGAGAGAGAACAGGACTGCTCAAAAGGGGAGCCCTAGGCTGGGGATTGGATAGCCTCACTTCTTGACCTCTTAAAACTTCATCAGGAAATGGGTGACATTCTACATGCTCCACTTGGAATATATCAACCAACTGAATGCTGGGTGTCTGGCTGGGCATCCAGATCCTGGGATTCTTAGGCAGAGTCCTAAGTTTCTGACAGCCTCCAGTCTAGAAGAGGATGTAGTCTCTCTGAAATGTCTCACCTAAAAGGTGAGGGATTTCTTTGTGTGTGTTGAGACAGGGTGCTGGGGATGGAGCTCAGAGCCTGGAGCTCAATACCAATAAGCTACATCCCCAGTCTTTTCACTTTTTTTTTTTTTTTTTTAATATGTGTGTGTGGTAGTGGGGATTGAACCCAGGATGGGGGATGGGGGCCTACCACTGAACTACGCTTCCAGCCCTTTTTAAAAAAATAAAATTTTGAGACAGGGTCTCACTAAATTGCTAGGCTGGCTTACAACTTGCAATACTAGCCTTTCCTGTAGCTGGGAGTTACAGACATGTGCCACTGAGCTGTGCTCCCAAGGGATTTCTTGAGGTCTGCTGTTGTAAAGCTAAAAAAGAGAAAGGAATCCTCTAGGTGGCAAATGCTTGTAATTCCAGCCAACTGGGAGGCTGAGGCAGGAGGATCACAAGTTCAAGGCCTGCGTCTGCAATTTAGGGCCTATCACAAAAAAGGCCTGAGGATACAGTTTAGTAGTAGAGCATCCCCAGGAATGGAGACGGGACGGGGGTCAGGGGAAAGCCGCACAGAGTGAAATATGAATGTGAAGGACCTGCATTCTTCTCTTTGCAGGACCTTGGAGTCCCCAGGTTTTCAAATCTTCCATTTGCATGAAGTCCATAGTCCTGTTTCCTCTGCAATGGGCATTGTGGAGGGTCTCTGTTTTCCTCCAATCATCTTGACCTTGTAGGAATGGCCCTGAATGCTGAAGTGAGAATTCTAAATGCCCCAGGATTAGTAGCTGCAGCCCTGGGCTGTCTGCAGCTGTCCAGGGGAAAGGAGTTTCCCTTCTGATGTCAGGGACTTGATGGGTTTCTCACTTCTCTGGGAGGAAAGTGCTTAGCTGACAAGCTCAGCTAAGGAGCCAGGTGGAAGTGGGGTTTGATTCTTTTCCTCCCTCCTTACCCCTTCCTCAACCTCCCTGTTCTAGAGTAAACTTGGAAGGAAGGCCAATTTGGATTTGATTCTCAGCTTCCACCATGTATACCAGCCGAGTGACATCAGTGAGTTCCTTAGACCTTGAGCTTGGGTTACTTGGTCTGCAGAATGGGAACAATAATATCTTTCCCAATAATAGTATCTGTCTCATTGTTGAGAGACTCATCCATGCTTGGTAAATGTTTCTGGCTTCTCCTGTCTCCTCAACTCAACATGTCTCACAGAGCATGCTGTGGCTGTGGAAGAAAACCAGCTCCCGTGGGTGGAGGTCAGGAGGTCTTGATCTCTGCTCTGAGCAGCAGCTGCCCCACCCTGGGGGCTGTCTCATCTCTGCCAGGGTTATCTGTAAGGAGCAGGCACATGCCTATGCCTCCTGGCCTCAGTTCTGTGGGCTGGAGGCTGTAGAGCTGAGCTGGCCTAGGAAGGCAGGTGGGTTGTTGAGGAGGAGGCCTAAGAGGAAGTGATAGGCATTTCAGGGTGGTCAAGAGGATCAAATCGTGGGTCACTAGGGGACTCATATGACACCCAAGTCCCCTCTTGAGTTTTCCCTGGAGACTGGAGAAGACCTGCCCTTGGCTACCCAATGGCTCCGATGCCCACCACTATTCCTGCCTTTTCCACCTGGAGCTGGTGGTGTTTTCTAAATCAGCTTCACTGAAGATTAATTTATATCACACATTTTGATGAGGCTTGACAAATTTGTACACCCCAGTAACCATCACCACAGCCAATATTTAAAACATTTCTGGGGCTGGGGATGTAGCTCAGAGTGCTTGTGCTTGCCAGCGTGCTCAAGGCCCTGGGTTTCATCTTAAAAAAGAAAGAAAGAAAAGCTATTTCTACCACCTCAAAACCTCTTGCTTCCCTTTTAAGGGTCCATCCGTCCACCTGTGTCTTTAAAAAAATATGTAAAACAACTTTAGCAAGACAAAATTTACATATCTTACAAATCACTCAGAGTTGTACAGTCGTCATCTCCATCAATTTTAGAACATTTTCTTTCCTCCCAAATGTAACCCTCTACCCATTTAGTAGCACCCACTCTCCCCACTCTTCCTTCTACCCCAAGCACTATGCAGCTGCTCCTCTACTCTTTATTTTCTGTTCTTTCCTTCCTTAATCCATCCATTCTTCCCTCCCTTCCTTCCTCCCTTTCTCTTCTTTCTTTCCCAGGATTGAACCCAGGGGCCTTACCACTGAGCCATCTCCCAGCCTTTTTATTTTTTATTTAGAGACAGGGTCTCACCAAGTTGCTTAGGATTTCACTAAGTTGCTCAGGCTGGCTTTGAACCCCCGATCCTTCTGCCTCAGCCTCCTGAGCTGCTGGGATTATAGGCATACGCTCGCACGGCTAACTTTAACATTTTGAAGAGCCTTCAGACTATTTTCTTAAGTGGCTACACCATTTTACATTCCCACCAGCAGTGTATGAGGGTTCCAGTTTCTTCACACACTCGACAATATTTGTGATTGTTCATTTTTTATTATAGATATAAAAAATATTTATTTTTTTTTAGTTGTAGTTGGACACAATACCTTTATTTCATTTATTTATTTTTATGGGGTGCTGAGGATCGAACCCAGGGCCTTGCATGTGCTAGGCGAGTGCTCTACCGCTAAGTCACAACCCCAGCCCCTTATTATGGATATTCTAGTAGCTATAAAGTAGTATAATTTTTTGGTTTTGATTTGCATTTTCCTAATGGCTAATGATGTTGAGCGTCTTTTCATGTGCTTATTGGCTATTGGTATATCTTTGGAGAAATGTCTATTAAAAGCCTTTGCCCATTTTTAAATTGAATTATCTTTTTATTATTGCTAATTAATAATTAGTTATTTTTAGTGTTGGGGATGGAACCCAGGGCCCTGCACATGCTAATCATGGAATTCAGGGCCTTGCACATGCATATCATATGCGTTACCCCTGAGTTCCATCATGAGCCCTTGTAAGAGCTCTTTATATTCTAGATACAAGTCCTTTTTCAGATATATGATTTGCAAAAGTTTTTTTCCACTATGGATTCTTTTTATCTTCTTGAAGGTATCTTTTAGTGCATGATAATTTTGAATATTGACAAAGTCCTATTGTCTACTTTTTTCTTTTTCTATTCTGTGTCATGAATATGAAAGCATTGCTTAATCTAAGGTCACAAAGATTTACCTCTGTGTTTTCTTTTCATAGTTTCAGCTCTTACACTTAGATTTTTGATCCATTTTGAGTTAATTTTTGCATATGGCAGGAGGCATCCACCTGGTATTTTGAGTTGCTCGAAAGTGGGTGTGTATCTAAGTTTGGCTGTTTAGGATCACTAGAGGTGACCAAAGTGAACCCTTCTTTTTCTCAGAAACTTTTTGTCCATTCTTAGAAAGCAGAGTACAACATGCCTCTTTCCCCCACTTCTCTCCCATTCCAGCGACTCTGGCCTAAACTCCCTCGGCTGTCTGGCTGATCAGAGATGCTGTTCCTTGTTCTGTCTCAGTCATGTTGCAGATCAAAAGTGTCAACTTTCTGCTGCTTAGAGCTTCATACACTGTGGGTCTCTGCCTCCTTCTACCGTGTCCCAGGAATCTAGTATCAGACCAGGAAACTGTCCCCATAGAGGCAGGAAAGGTCTCTTCCAACTCAACTTTGTGCTGGTTGCCTGATTTGAGCCAGTTCCTCCATGTGTTAAAGAGGACCAATAATCCCCACCTGGTGGGGCTTCTATGAAAATGATTGAGAGCAAGCAGCCAAAATTTAGGCTTCCGGTAAGGGTTGTGAATATGTTCTAGACCCACCTTCATTCCTCATTTGCTGTGTGCCTTAGGCAAGTCATTTATTCTTCCTGGATCTCATTTCTTTCCAAGTCTGTTAATGAGGGTACAGTTGTCACCTTCCCACCACAGAACAATGATGTGAGAATTAAAGGATGTTGTTTAATACATACGCAAAGGAGCTCATTATTGATGTTTTCATTTGTGTAGGTTTTGGAGTTCTCTGGCCATACCCTCTGTCTTCTTTCTTTCTTGATGGGTATTCACCTAAAGGGATGTCACAGCTAGTGCGGGCTCTGTTACCCAGAATATAGGCAGTAGCAGCTCCGTTTATCACGCATCCTTATATATCCAGCATAAGTGCCAAAATGATAAAACAATCAGCAAGTACTTGGAAGCCTGAGGCAGGAGGATTGCAAATTCAAGGTCAGTCTCAGTAACTTAGCAAGACTCTGTCTTAAAAAGTAAAAAGGACTGAGAATGTAGCTTAGTGGTAAAGCACCCATGGGTTCAGTCCCTAGTACAAAAACAAAACAAAACAAACAAAAACAGCTATCACTAAAATTCATTAAGTCTTTACTGTTTGTGAGTTAGATTTTTTAGTCTTCACCATAAAGCTGTGATACAAGTATTATAACCTCATTTTATAAAAGAGAAACCTGAAGTTCAGAGATGCTAAGAAACTTGCCTAAGGTTACCTAGCTATATTTTTTTTTGGGGGGGTAGTACTAGGGATTGAACTCAGGGGCACTCAACCACTGAGCCACATCCCCAGCCCTATTTTGTATTTTATTTAGAGACAGGGTCTCACTGAGTTGCTTAGTGCCTCACTGTTGCTAAGGCTGGCTTTGAAATTGCAATCCTCCTGTCTCTGCCTCCTGAGCCACTGGGATTACAGGCATGCATCAAGGCACACAGCTCACCTAGCTATTTTATAAAGAGCAGAGTTAGGATTCAACTTCAGTTTTGACCCCAGAACCTTTCTGCTGGGCCTCATAGGAATAGCATAGATATCCCTGATCTTATATTTCTCCTGGGGGAGACCAGCCATAGACAAGACCGGCTAGAGCTCTGTCCTAAGATGTTTTGGTGAATGTTACTGTGCCAAGTGCCAAAAGTGAAGCATCAGGAGGTTAGGAAGGGAACATGACAAGCGGAACAAAGAAGATGAGATCATTTTGTGAGTGTGTTTGTGCCTATGTGGCAGTCTTCAGAGCCAGCCTCTCGGGTACTTGAGACCACTGTCCCTGTTTCACAGATGGGATAATGAGAAAGTGCCAGCAGCATAGCTAGTAAAACCAGAATTCAACAGGTGAAAGCTTAGCCATAATCCCATTTTCCAGTGTTTCTCAGACCTGATCATTTTCAGTCCACCTTCAAGATTTTACCATATCTGGGTGCCACAGGTACTAGTATTTCAAGTGCAAATATGCTTGAAATCTCGAGTTTGATGTTGTTATATATATTATGCATATTTGTCTAATAACATATATGTAGTATATAAAACATGTTATATGTAAAATATAATGTATAATATAAAATATATCATTATATCATATATTATAAGATACTATATAGCAGTATATTATATAATAATATAACATACCCTTACATAATGGTATAGTCATATATAATTAATTAGTATATATTGTATGAAATAATATATATTATGTGTCTTTATATATATATACATTGTGTTCACTTGTGTATGTGTGTGTTTTACTAGGGATTGAACCCAGGGGCATTTTACCACTGAGCCTCACCCCCAGCCCTTTTAAATTTGTATTTTGAGACTGGATCTCACTAAGTAGCTCAGACTGTCCTCGAGTTTTTGATTCTCCTGCCTTAGCCTCCTGAGACACTGGGATTTCAGGTGTGTACCACTGCACCTGACCATATATATATTTTTAATACATTCACATATACATACATATGCCTGTTTCCATTATACATTTAAATAACCAATAACTGTGAAACCTCTGAAACCATTCCATGTACCACACAAACCCATCTGAGTGCCACCTGCACTGCACACCACACACTGGGAAACCCTGTTTCCCTGACTTCTGAGCCCAACTCTTACCACTGACTTACTGAACACATTCTCCCTGTTCCATCCCATGCCTCACTTTACCTCTCTATGAAAGTCAGGAAGTTGGATGCAAAGACTTCTGTTGTAACTGCCTTAGATACAGGTCGAAGAGTTCTTTGCATCTTGGTTGAGAAGCCTTACTTTGACCAACCACTCAGTGATCAGGCCTCAGGAACTACTGTTCATATCAGTCAAACTCACAAGAGACTGATGATAAACCAGAGGAAGTGATGTATTAATTGACCTTGAGTCGTTAGCAGTCCATTGTGGTGGATTCTCTATCACTGGAGAAGCACATGTCCTCGTCAGCACTATCTGGTACTTGGGAAAAGTACCAAGCTGGCCAGTGCAAGACATCAAGGACCTATGGTGGGATGGAAAAGTGTTGGCTTTGGAGATCCTCTTGAATTTGAACTCTCCTGTTAGGAACTGAGTGACTGGCCTGGGGTTGTAGCTCAGTGATAGAGCGCTTGCCTGGCACGTTTGAGGCACTGAGCTGGATCCTCTGCACTGCATACAAATAAGTAAATAAAGGCACTGTGTCCATCTACAACTAAGAGAAATATTTTTTAAAAGAAGCTGGGTGACCAAGTGGTTTTGCTCTTGAGAGCCTCCTCATCTCTAATGGGGGCCATTGAATTCACTTTTGAGGGCTGTTGAAAGGCTTAAATGAGATTCTGTATGGAAAACTGAGGTACAAAGGGGTGTTCATTGAAAGTCAGTGGGATTGCTTATGAGGGAAATTGTCATTTGATTGTGAAGAACTTAGGGGCAGGGTCAATCTCCAGTTCCAGGATTGCAAGTTCCAATGCTAGGTCAGGTCAGGCAGATGGTGATAACTGAGTACAACAGGGCAGGTGTATGATAGCATATATCTGGAAACTGAGAGAGATGAGGACTTGTGTGACTTGGGAAGGCCAACCCTGGCAAAAAGGGGAGACCTCCATCCAGCTCTGGGAATGGCCAGGTCTCCTGACTATTTTTTGTTTGTTTATTTTGAGATGGGGATAGCCTCAAACTTTTGGGATCAAGCAGTTCTCCTACCTCAGCCTCCTGAGTACATACCATCATACCTGGCTGATCTTCCAACTTTTTAAAAAATATTTTTTAATTGTAAATGGACCTTTATTTTGTTTATTTTTATGTGGTGCTGAGGATTGAACCCAGTGCCTCACACGTGCTAGGCAAGAGCTCTACCACTGAGCCACAACCCTAGCCCTTCCAACTTTTTTAAAAGTCAGAAATCTGGATATATATGTGCTAACTCCTGAGTGTGTGTGTGTGTGTGTGTACTGAGCATTGAACCCAAGGAACACTTTACCACTGAAGTACAATACCTAGTCCTTTTAAAATTTTGAGACAGTCTCACTAAATTGCTGAGGCTGGCCTCAAACTTGTGATCTTCCTACATCAGCCTCCCCAGTTGCTGGGATTATAGGTGTGCCTAGCCCTTTCTCTTTTCTTTTTATTCTGAGACACGGTCTTATTAAGTTCCCCAGGGTGGCCTTGAATTTGCTATCCTCCTGCCTCAGTCTCCTGAGTTGCTGGGATTATAGGCGAGTGCCACTATCCGGGCTACTAATCCTGATTTTAAACTGGCACCCCATTACAATTTATAACATTATAAGGGTCAACACTGCCAGCCAAGCAAAACTTGGGTGGGGTTCAATGCTGGTCATCTCATTGCAGATCCTGGTCTAAATTATCTTTCCATTTCTTCTTGCTTTTTGCACTGTCCCGACACAGTGTTGACATATGGTCAATGTGGGGAAATGAACAGTGATCATAAAGACCACCAAATTACAGGGCTAGCACGAACCCAAAAGCTGTGTGGTCTAACCCCCCCTAACCGCTTCCTCCAGGTGCCTTGGTACTCTCCCCAGCCTCCTGACAGCTGGAGACAGTGGGGAAAGTCCCCATCACCCAAGACAGTTCCTTCCTTGGGTGGCCAGTGCTCAGTCTGACAGTTCTGTATGTTGGTTCTTATGTTTACACACAAATCCAATTACCCTTTGCTGCCTGAAGGCCCTTGGGATACCTGAAGTCAGGGGTCACTGCTGTCCCCTCCCCAGCATGCAGGTACCATCACAATTCTCTTCCAACATCTGAGACTCTTTAATAAAATCAGCATCCGTTTTTTCCCTATCATCTAACATAGGCCCCTTGAAAACTAACAGCTGCCTGTCTTACTGTGGGATCCCAGCACCTGGAGGCTGTGTTCCTCTCCCCCTTCCTCAGCCATTTCGGGAGTGCCTTCCTGGAGGCAGACACTGTGCAGGGTTCTCTATTCCCTGAGACATCCTGAGGAGCCTGTGGCTTAGGCATTCCCTGCTCCTGTTTATAGCAGGGGCCTGAGGCTCAGAGGCAGTTGCTTGTCCAAAGCTGTCACAAAGTTGCTTGTGCAGCTAGTAAGGCTGTTAATGGAGACCCCCAGCGGTCTGCCTCCAGGGTGCGTCCTGAATTTGCCCTTGGCAGTGCTGCCTAGTAACAAATTGGAGGTGGTGGGGCAGCCCCCTCATTGACTCAGTGAAAACTGTTCAAGTGATAATCATTCTCTGTCCCCCACATTGGCCTTTCTCATGGTCTTGTCACAACCCCAAGTTGGCAGTTTACCTTGAGGACAGGTTCTCCAGGTGAACTTTTAGAGTCACAGAGGGCAGTGCCTCAGTTTCATCGTCTGGAGGATGGGAAGACTTGTTTAACCGACAGAAGGGTGGTTGAGAGTTAATATAGGAACAGTTTAGAACGGGACCTGGAACATAAAGTGCTCAGCCAATACTGGCTTTATCAGAATGTCATTTATCTAAGTTTTAAGTGACTTCTTATCACGTGCATTAGAGTGCCTCTCAACAACTTTGCCCCTTGACTGGGGAGCACTTCCCTTGGAGGCCCGCAGCCCCAGAAGCTTGCACATTGAGTGAGGTTATATGTGGTAAATACTTGGACGTCCGTTATCTCATTTGAGCTAGTGGAGGCCCTAGGTTGAGTATGTATTGGCTGTCCTGGGATCAGATACTAATTGTGGCCATTTATGGAGCCCCCAGCCCCCAACAGAGTAAACATGACTCCAGGCCACCCCCAGGAACACCTAGGTTGGTTTGATCAGGCCTGGGATTTGAAGGCAGGACTCTGGTTCAGGCTGCTCTTATCTCAGCAGCTTCTGCTTTTCTGTGCTGAATGCCCCCTTCCCCCTCCTCAGCTGAGAACATCACCACCAACACTACCCAGGACCAGCAACACCAGTGGCCCAGCTGTGACCAGCAGGAAGAGATGCTCAATCTTGGCTTTACCATTGGCTCTTTCCTGCTCAGTGCCACCACCCTGCCACTGGGGATCCTCATGGACCGCTTTGGCCCCCGGCCCCTCCGGCTGGTTGGCAGGTAAGGTGGCTGGGCTGTGGGAGCTAGAGGACTAGGAAGATACTGCAGCCCCGGGTGGGGTGGGGCAGGGGAGGCTCACAGGTCAGCCCTGCCCTTCCCTGTGTCCCCACAGTGCTTGCTTCGCTGCATCCTGCACCCTCATGGCCTTGGCCTCTCGGGACACGGAAGGTGAGCTGCCTGACCTTTTGTGCTTCCAGAAGAAGAGAATGGGTGGAATGAAGGGGGATGTCCTGGCCTCCCACAGCTCCCCAAATGCCCTCACCTGCCCCTCTCCCCCTTCCCAGTCCTGTCTCCATTGATATTCCTGGCGCTGTCTCTGAATGGGTTTGGTGGCATCTGCCTCACGTTCACTTCACTCACTGTGAGTATAACAGGCCGCCCGGGTGCAGAGTGGGGTTAGCAATGGGTGGGGCACTGGTGGGGGAGGGGCTCAGAGGGTGTCGATCAGGTGCATGTGTGTGAAACTGTGCAGGTGGCAGCTATGGGTGGGTGTGGGTCAGTGTGTGTTCACCTAGCCCGTGAATGTCGGATGAGCTCCATTCTAGGCACAAACACGGTCTGGGTCTGCAGCACAAACAGGATCAACCATGTCCTCACCTTCTAGGAGTTTCCATTTCAGAGCTAGGAGGAACAGAAAACCCAATAAGCAAGCAAACTCATAAATTATGTCAGTAGTCACAAGTGCTAGGAAGAAAATTAAACTGGATAATGTGATAGGGAGCAGCTGGAGATGGTGTGTGTACCCTTGCTGTGTGTGTGTGTGTGTGTGCTGCTGTCCATGTGGAAGGGCAGGAGTGGGAGTGGGTAAATATATCTATGAGGTTGAATATGAAATTGCCAACATTTGTTCGTGCTTGATCTATAAAACTGACTTTTTCACAACTTCACCTATTGCTTATGTGTGTGAGTTGTGTATGTGTGTTTATCAAAGTGTATTATGTTTGTGGAGGTGAGTAATATAGGGAAGGGTTAAAGGCTTCCGAGTGTGTCGGGACACCTGGAGGTAAGTGGCCTGGGCCGCCTTCGCCTTTGGTTTAGGGTTGTTTATCTCTGATGCGGCCCAACTGGGAGTTTGGGGCAGAATTTCTCCTCACCCCAGCAGCCGCCTATAATTCCAGCTGGGGACATTTCACAACTCTCAAGGAAACGGATCCCTTCCTACCCACAGCCCCTTCCCGCTGTGCAACTTGGCTTTTGTCCCCAAATCCCTCTCCCTTCTCCCGGGGGCGGGCCTGCGGCTTGACCTCCCCGCACCCTGCCCAGGCCAGCCAAAGGGGCTCCGCCCGCCGCCAGCCGGCGGCTCCTCGCATCTTCTCGGGCCCGTAATCTCCAGCCAATGGCAGTGGCCGGCGCCGGCCCCGCCCTCACCCCGCCTCCCACCGGTGTTGCCCTCTGCCCGCGGGTCAGCTCCAGCCCAGCGCCCAGGGCTGCAGCGGGTTGCTGTTGGCGCCGGCTGCTTCCTATCCGCTCCCAGCCTGCCAGTGCGGGTCAGCCTGCGGTTAGCAGGGCTGGCCTTGTCCTCCTCATGGTGCTGAGCTGACACGGCCCTCGAGGAGCCGGGGTCCTGGCCCTGGCCTCCTTCCCTGATGTCGTTGGCAGTGTGCCTGGCAGAGAAAGAGGGTGCCCAGGGAAACCTCTGCCCAAGTGGGGGATAACTTTGCTCCACTCCCTTCATGGAGTCACTCCGGGGGAGGGAGGAGGACAGCCCAATTCTCTGTGTTTAAATATTTTCCTTCTCAGAGCTATTTGAAGTCCATTTACAGAGCCATGAGCCATTTCCCCCTCTGTGGAGGAGGGGTTAGGCTCTGGATGGCATGTAAAGTCCTACTCATCTATGGGATGTGGTGACTTGGGGAGGGTGATAGGGCCAAAGGGAGATGTAAGCAAAGGACTTTGCCCTCTCTTCCCCTGAGGGCCTGGGTCAGGCCAGGAAACTGGACATACAATCAATCCTTTACTGGTTGGAGTTCTGCATCTGCTTTGCCTGCCAGAGCCACCTGTCCTGTGATCATCAGGCTTCTTCCTGCCCCCTCCCAGTCTCTGTCTCACCTCCATGGCCCTTTCAGTGATTCCTCCTAGTTCAGTAGGCTGGGGTTTTGGGTGCCATCAAGAAGTTTAAGGGCACCATCTTAGTTATAGAGTCAGCCATGAGCACAGCCTTCAGGCTGGATGCAGAGCAGGGGAGAAAGTCTTTAATAAGCTTTGTGAACCCGAGGGCACTTCTTTCCCTCTTGGCTTCAGTTTTCTCATCTGTGAAATGAACTGAACCTGATCAGTGTTTCTTAACACCGGTTCAATGGGGGTATTTAGAGGTGTAACACAATCAAGGGGTTTCATAAACAACCAACTTGGGCAACTCCGGATTAAATGGAATTTAAAAAGTCTCTCTAGGAGGTGCTTCTGGGAATCTTTAGGTGCTAGTGTGCATAGAGGGGGTCAGAGTACAGTTTTCTATATTGATTTTGCCTTGGAACCTCCCCTCCCCACAGTACTGGGGATCAACCGAGCACTCTGGGCATACTAGGCAGGCGCTCTACCACTGAGTTACATCCCCAACCAAGGGCTTTTCCGTTGTATCTCTTGGTGACATTGTTGCTGGAACCTACGTTTAAGGAATGCCCCCATGGAGCCTCCAAGATTTCTTGGGGGGCTCTGGGCAAGGGGAGCCCTAGGTGATGTCAGGCTATTCACAGTGCCGTTCTTCTCCCCCAGCTGCCCAACATGTTTGGGAACCTGCGCTCCACTTTCATGGCCCTCATGATTGGCTCCTATGTCTCTTCTGCCATCACTTTTGGAGGAATCAAGGTATGGATGTTCTTGAGGGACCAGTAAAGTCACCTGTCTTTTTACCTTGATGCTAGAACTGGGTGTGACTGGGTGAGTGGTGGCTATTGTGTCCAATGGCCCTGTTCCTGCCCATCATAGGTCATTCCCACCATTGTGCAGAAAAGCACTGAAGCATCCTGGCCCTACTGCTGACCCAAAGGTCAGACATCTCCACTCTCCTCTTTCCTTCACCAATGTCCCAGCAGACCTTTCTTTTCTCTCCTGGACCAAGCAAACTTCCTCAGTCTCTGATCTTTTCTTTGTCTAATCTGCAGTCACCTGACTTCCTGACTGATATTAGAAAACCATTGCACAGACTCACAAGTCAAGGGCTCGACTCTCTGGCTTCGCTCAGCCTTTTGAGTCATACCTTCCTACTGGGGAGGCTGAGTGAGTTGGTCCAAGGTTACAAAGTGAGTCTATGCCAGGTAGCTCATGGACAGGTCAGCCTGGTGACTTGGGAGCCTAGACGCCTGAACTTGGGGCAGGCTGGAGGTCTCAGTTTCTTCCTCTATTAGACTCTGTCAAAGGCTTCTTTTCTTTTTTTCTTTTTGCAATCCTAAGGCCTGAACCTAGGGCAGCTCTCAAAGTGCTGTTTTTGCCTGGGCTGGGATATGTTCCTTAAACTCTACGTTGGGTAGTTAATTTTTGATTTAAAAGGCATTTCTGCTCACCCTCTCATAGGAGTTGGAGAGTGTGTGAATGGGCCAGCTGTTACTCCCACACATTTGGGGGTATGGCCCTTTTAAGCTCAGTCCTGTCCCCAGGAAGGAAAGCACCTTAAGGCCCAAAGCCAAGGAGCGCCAGAGGTTTCTCCCAGAAGGCAACTGGAGCTCTGAGCAGGAGCCTGGCAGTCATCCCAGGTGGAGAGTGTCAGGGAGGACACGAGGAACCACAGCATCTTGGTGCACAGGGACTTCACCCACTAGAGGGGATGTCTCATTGAACCCAGTCAGTGCAGAACCGAGTTGTCCTGGGGTTAGGAGGCCTTATGAGGGCAGAGGACTTTCGATCCCCATCCTCTTGGTGCACCTGGAAGCACCTGTTAAAGGTGAGATAAGGTTTTTCAGATTGGGTTTGCCTTTCCCCCAGGGAACGTGCCAGAAAGGGACAGAATAAACACCATTGGGTCTGGTAAACCCAGAGCTTTAATTTTCCTTTGTACAGAATATGAAATGACTTTTTGTGTGTGTGTGTGTGTGTGTGTGTGTGTGTGAAAATAAACATTTTGTGGAACCACAGACAAAATATGTGCCTTTTTAAGACCATAATTGAGATTTCCAAGACATTCGGAGTGAGTGGCCAACAACTTCAGCACTTTGTGGAGACTACTCCACACTTCTTGAGAGGGGCTTGGGTGAATGAGGAAGAAGATTGGTAGTTTTGGGGATCTGACTCTTAATTTCTGACTTTACTTTTTTTCAATTGCAAATTGGGCACGCGGAATGGGGAAGAGGAGATCTTTAAGGCATCTGAGAGCTGGGTTTGACCTCTGTGGGGCCTGGGGCCAAGCAGCCTCCTCCATGGGCTGTCCTGCTCCTCCCACAGCTGATCTACGATGCTGGGGTGCCCTTTGTGGTCATCATGTTCACCTGGTCTGTCCTGGCCTGCCTTATCTTTCTGAATTGTGCCCTCAACTGGCCCATGGAAGCCTTTCCTGCTCCTGAGGAAGGTGCTTACAAGTGAGTGGCTGGAGGGGGTGGGGGTTTGGAGTGGGAAGGGGACTCCCTCTTGCACCACTGAAGGGGAGGCCAGGGCCCTGAGGTATGACACAATCAGCTTTGGAGAGAGACCTACACTTGGAGCCCCGCTTTGCAAATGCCTTCATTTCTCTGAGCTCTGCTTTCTCATCTGTACAGTGAGAAATTCTATCCATTCACAGGTGTTTTGAAATAATAGAACCGGCCCACAATGGGTGGTCAAAATATGGTGACTGTTGAGCCCAGTGGTGTATGCCTGTAATCCCAGTGACTTGGAAGGCTGAGACAGGAAGACTGCAAGTTCAAGGCCAGCCTCAGCAACTTAGTGAGAACCTGTCTCAAGAAAGAAAGAGAAGTAGGGATGTAGCTCAGTGGTAAAGTTCCCCTGGATTCAAACCCAGAACCAAACCAAACCAAAATCAAAACACAACACACACAGACACTCAAAACAACAACAACAAAAACCCATAGAGAATATTATTGTTATTATCCTTTCTGTGTTTGGAGATCAGAAATCTGGTATACCAGCAATAGCACCAGATACTTTTTGGACCCAAAAGGGAAGATGTAGAGGAATCAAGCAGACTACCTGCTGTGGGGCAGCTGGAATTCCAGCTCTTCCCAGCTTCATTTCGACTCAGCAGTGGCAGAGGGTGGTGCCCCACAACCAGCCACATAGAGTGGCAGTCATGTAGCTGACATTTATGGAGTACCTACTCTATGCTGGCACTGTACTTAGCTCCCATACCATTCTCTAATACCTGTGTGTCTCTGTTAGATACTTCATTAATAACAAAATGCAAGCCGGGCACAGTGGCACATGCCTGTAATCCCAGGGGCTTGGGAGGATCGAGAATTCAAAGCCAGCCTCAGCAAAAGTGAGGCACTAAGCAACTCAGTGAGACTCTGTCTTTAAATAAAATACAAAACAGGGCTAGGGATGTGGCTCAGTGGTTGAGTGCCCCCGAGGTCAATCTCCAGTATCCTCCCACCCTGAAAAAAACCCCAACAATAACAAAAATAACAAGATGCAAAGAACAAAGTGATTTTCTGAAGGTCATCCCATCGAAAAGGGGGTAAGTTGAGGTCAGGCGACCTCAGAGTTTGAATTCTCCCTGCTGCCTCTTCTGTAGGAACAAGTGGAAATGATTCATTTGCCGTTTGTTTGTTGGTCTGTGCCTATGCTGGTCTCTGGGCCAGGCTCTGAGCAACAGAGATGAGCCCTCCATTAGGGAGCTCATTAGTGGGTCTGTCAATGCTAGGGATAGTTGACACTCTTGGGACAGGCTGGGATGGCACCCTGGAGTTGAGGGTGGCCTCTGTGTGGCTGTTTTTCTTATGCTGTGGCCTGGTTGCCTGCAGGAAGAAGAACAATCTTGCTGGACTGAACCTGGACCACAAGCTCACGGGTGACCGCTTCTACACCCATGTGACCAACGTGGGTCAGCGGCTGAGCCAGAAGGCTCCCAGCCTGGATGAGGGGGCTGACGCGTTTCTCGCATTGCAGGACGCCCGTGACACCTCAGAAGACCTTCCTGAGAGTAAGTGTCTGGTCGAGGTGCCAGCACTGGGGACTGGGAGGGTGCATTCTTAGACCAGTGAACATCAGTCTCTTTCCACTTCTGTTCTCACACTACCCTGGGATGCAGGAGGAGCACACTTCCCATTCACAGATGGGGAAGCCAAACTTCAAACAATTCTGGCAATTTCAGACTTGGGGATACCCTGCTTGGTACCCTGGGTGAGGAAGGGAGGAGCAGAGTCTCTTGGTCTGTCCAGCAATTGGTTCACTCAGGGTCCCCTGCAATCTCTGAGCCTGTTGTGGCAGGGCAGTGGAGCTTTCAAAAGATGCAGCCCTCCTACTCCTGGCTCTCCAGCGCCCCCTGCTGTCTGCAGGAGGAGCTGCATCCACCTGCTTGGGTCACTTCTCAAGGCGTTGACTTGGGGATATAGCTCAGTTGGTAGAGTGCTTGCCTCGCATGCACAAGGTCCTGGGTTCAATCCCCAGCACCACACCAAAAAAAAAAAAAAAAAAAAAGGCGTATATCCTTTGGTGAGAAACGATGGGGTTTGAGTCCTGCTTCCTATGCGGTGGGCTATGTAACTTGGGTGGATCACTTGTGCTTCATCTCACCTTCCTCACCTCTCAAACTAGCACTAATAAAACCCACTCAGCTGGGCACGGTGGTGCATGCTTGTAATCCCAACCCTGTGGGAGGCTGAGGCAGGAGGATTGCAAGTTCTAGGCCAGCCTCAGCAACTTAGCGAGGCCCTATGCAACTTAGTGAGAACCTGTCTCAAAATAAAAAAATAAAAAGGGCTGGTGTTGTGACTCAGTAGTAGAGTGCGCTGGGTTCAATCCCGGTACCAAAACCAAAACAAAAGCACCCACCTAAATAGGCAAGTTAGTTGTAAGGGTTGGATTACATCATGGACATGGGACCTCTTTGTAAAGTACAAAATTGGTATGTTCAGGAGAGTGGTTATTCCCACTGCCCATCCCCATGGGACAAGTGGTCAAGGGCAGGAGCCTGAGTAAGGCCAACCTGCTGTTCCGGTCCTGTGAGCTCAGGCAGGATCTGTCTGAACTACAGTTTCCTCATCTGTAAAATGTGGTAAAGAGCTGGGCATGGTGGCAGGCAGTTGTAATCCCAGCTACACCAGAGGCTGAGACAGGAGGATCCCTTGAATTTAGGAGTTCAAGACCAGCCTGGATAACATTGTGAGAGGAGATTATTGTAAGATTTGGTTCAATGGAATAGCTCGTAGTAAGTGCTTCAGTTATTATTACCACACAAAACACCGCTGTAGAGATAGTTACTGAGCGGTCCTTCTCCAGAGTCACATAGTTAGTGTCCCAGCCCCCATTAGGCCTGCATGAGCTGGGACAAACAGAGAGAAACTGAAGTTCTGGGGGCCTAGGGGCACCCCCTGCTGTCTCTCCACAGTCTGTCCCCTTCCGCAAGAGCCTCTGCTCCCCCATTTTCCTGTGGAGCCTTGTCACCATGGGCATGACCCAGCTCCGAGTTATATTCTACATGGCCATCATGAACAAGATGCTGGAGTACCTCATGACCGGTGGCCAGGAGCATGGTGAGGCACTGCTGAGGCCCAGGGTTGGGGCATAGCAGGGTCACCGTGGCTGAGCTGGCTCACTGTGTCTCTCCCCTACCCACAGTGACGGATGAGCTGAGACAAAATGTGCAAGAGACAGGTAGGGAGATGAAAGCAGGGCCCAGGCCCGGGCCCAGGCCCAGGCCCACCGTGCCGTCGCCTGTTCCCCAGGTGCTGGGATTCCTCTGGGCCTGGGCCTACCCTGGTAACCCGGGGATCCAAGAACCTGGGTCAGAGGGAGGCTGTTTGTCTGCTGGAAGTGGGTGGCCGTACCCACGGGGCCACTAGCATCCTGACCCCACTTCCCTTCCTGTCCTGTCCAGTTGGGTTCTACTCCTCCATCTTTGGGGCCATGCAGCTGCTGTGCCTTCTCACGTGCCCCCTCATTGGCTACCTCATGGACTGGCGGATCAAGGATTGCGTGGACTCCCCAGATGAGGGCACTGCTCTCGGAGATGCCAGGTGACCTGCCCAAGGATGGAGACAGCAAGTGGTCAGCCAGTGCTTTTCATTTTCTCCATTCTTGCACATACAGTGTCTCATTTCATTCTCCTCCGAGTCCTGGGAGGGTAGGAGTACTTCTCCACTTTTACAGATGAGGAAACGGAGGCTAGAGGGGGCGTGGCTTGCTTGGTCATAAGAATAGCTTAACAGTGAGGACTGACTCTGTGTGAGGCACCTTGTGTGATCTGTTTAGTCCTGCAGCAGCTCTCTGAGGTGGGTATATTATTGTCCTTGTTTGCAGATGAGGAAGCTGAAACACAGGGTCACATGGTTAAGTAACTTACTCAGGACCCCACGGCAAGCTCTAGAAATTATGTCATAAAGGCCGTACTCCAAAGTGTTCTTAACCCACGAAGTCCCGAGTTTTTGATTCGTGAATGTCTCAATGAAATTGATACAGGTGCATTAAAATAGAGTAGAAGTAATAATCTAGAGCTTATATATCCTTTATAGATATACATAACCTAACATATTACATAATGACCTCAAATACTGTAATCATTTACCAATTTTCTCAAAAAAACAGAATATCTATTTCAAAAGTTTCCATAAGTGGTATATTTATTGTCCCTCATCTGGGACCATGGGGCTTACTGAGTTAAAGCTAGGGGGAGATGGAATTGGTGTATGAGATTTATTGCTGCGTAACTAACTACCCCATCTTTAAACAAAAAACACTTACCATCTCACACAGTTTCTGGGAATTGGGAATTTGGGGATGACAGCTGATTCTGACCCAGGGCCTCTCATGAGGCTGTGGTCGAGCCTCGGGCCAGGGCCACAGTCATCTGAGGACTGCCTGGGGCTGCAGAGCTGCTTCCAAGCTCAGCCGCGTGGCTGTGGGTAGGAGGGTCAGTGCCTCCCCACGAGGGACCACTGGGTCTTGAACCCACTGTGTCTCCAACCGGTCTTCTGACTGCTTTTGGTTTTTGTGTCAATACAAATAGTCCCCATTTGTCCTGAGAGGATGGGAGAGAGACACCAGGAGAGAAGCCATCTAAGGAACACTCCAGGGGCTTCTCTCTCTACCAGCAGTGCCCCAACCTTCCTCCCTGACCCTGTGCTCCTGATGGTCTATTGGTCCAGGATAGATGGGCAGCGTGCCCTCACCCCAGCCTACTGACCTCTCTCCTGGGCTGGCCACAGAGCTCTGGATCATGCCAGACAGAGGAGCTTTCTGGTCAGTCAGAGGCCCAGCTGTCTAGACCGGCGGCTGACTAGACCGGCGGGAGAGCCGTTGTGAAACTCCCTTTTCTCTACCATTCTTCTCAGTCTTGATTCTAAAATTGCAGTGTGCATCAGAAATGCTCCGGGCATTTGTCCTGCAGACTCCTGGGCTTCACTCCTGAGGTTCTGAGACCTGGGGTCAGGCCTGCATTCTAGGAAGACATCCCCCCCCCAATCTGATGCTTAAGTGGTTAGTTGGGGGAACCACACTTCGAGAGAACGGTTTTCCTGCCTTTTCTTCTGCCCCAACAATCAGGGGCAGGGGGCAGGGCCTGGTTGAGAACCAGGGAGGTCCAGGTGAGGTCCAGTGATGGCTTTTTCTCCTCAGGGATGGGGTCACCACCAAGTCCACCAAACCACGCTACCGCAAGATCCAGAAGCTCACTAATGCCATCAACGCCTTCACCCTGACCAACCTCCTCCTTGTGGGTTTTGGTTTCACCTGCCTTATCAGCAACTTACACCTCCAGGTGCCACTTCCCTCTGTCCCCTCCCTCTGCCTCCCACGATCCTCCAAAGGGACGATCCACCAGGGCCTGCCTTCTGGAGGCATGGCTCTGGCCTCTGCTCAGGGTCTGTTTCCCGGGTTCCCAGGTGTTCTTAGTACATTGGTAGCAGGTGGGGTGGGAATGTGTAGATGACTTGGTGAGGCCCCGTGTCCCTCTGCACCCTGCCTTGACGCTGTCTCCCTTTTGGTTTCAGTTTCTGACTTTTGTCCTGCACACCATAGTTCGAGGATTCTATCACTCGGCCTGTGGGGGCCTGTACGCTGCCGTGTGAGTCATTCAGGCTGAACGCCTTTCCCAGCTTTGTCCCCATCACAGAGAAAACCAGGGTAGAGCCAGAAGGGCCCCTCGCGTCCCTTCAGTACCTCTTCTGCATGCTGGCCTCTCAGAGTTGGGGGGCTTGGGGGGCCATCTGGTCCACTCCTCTGAGCCCCTCTGATCATGGGGAGCCCACCTCCTCCACATCAGCCTTCCCTCTGCAGGGAGACTCCCGTTGTTGGAAATCTTCCTTGGGGGAAGCTGGAACACGTGGTTTGATGACAGAGGCGCTGGTCCCTGTGTCTGCTGTCAGAAATGGCCTCCACAGTGGCCTCCCTCCCCCCGGCTGCCCTGTAGAACACCCCCCTTCCTTATGACTTTCCTTCTCCACCTGGAACAGCCCCGTGTCCCTTTCTCTCCTAGTTTCCACTGCCAGGCACTGCTGAGTGCCTCCCCTGCGGGGGCCATGGAGTAATAAAGGACATTACAGTAGCGATGACAGAATCTTAACTGTTACCGGGGGCCTCGTCCACGGCCGGTCCAGGCCAGGAGGCTTGGCCATTGCTCCCTAGTGTGAGCCTCACGGCAGCATCTCGGCACCGAGCAGCCCGTCCCTGTCTTGAACTTGTCTCTGTGTTTGTTCAAGCCAAGGGCTTACAGTTACCCTTGAGTCTTCTTCCTGCTCCACATTCGATCCATCGGCCTCCTGCCCACATTCCACCACCCCTTTGACTCCTTCTGACCGCCATTGCTGCGACCTTGGGCCAAGCCACTATTGGCTCCAGCTTGGATCACTGCAGTGGCCTCCAAATAGTCTCTTGAGGCTTGTCCTTCTTCAGTCCTTTGTGTGTGTGTGTGTGGTACTAGGAATTGAACCCAGGGATGCTCTGTCACTGAACCATATTTTACTTTTTATTTTGAGGCAGGGACTCATTAAGTTGCTGAGGCTGGCCTCCAACTTGTGATCCTCCTGCCTCAGCCTTCCAGGTCACTGGGACTAGAGGTGTGCCCCACTGTGCCTGGCCTCCTCAGACCATTTTTACACCAGTGGCCAGAGTCCCCTGGTAGGATATAAATCTCTTCATGTCACTAGTCTCACTCGAGAGTAAAAGCCAAAGGTTTATTATGACCTAAAAATCCCTACAAGATCTGGCCCCCTCTCCTCACTCCCTCACTCTTATGCCTCAGAAGCCCCAGCATGTTACGCCCTCGGGGTCTTTGCACTCGCTGTTCCCTCTTGCTAGAACACTCTTCCTCCAGATGTCTGCCAGGCTCACAGTTCCACCTCCTCCTCTTCTGACCTAGGAGGCCTCATCTGCGGAGGCCTTCCCAGGCCACCCTCTCTACAGTTGAAGCCCCCCTGACCTCCCCACCCTCTTCTCTGCCTGACCTCTTTCCTCAGCACCTAGACCGTGCTGTGCTCACGGTCGGATGGCCACCTGCTCCATCAATGACAGTGTCACCCTGTGAGGCAGGCATCTTTGCTCGCTTGGTACATAGCTTTATCCCCAGCACGTACATCAGTGCCATTTGTGGAAAGAATAAAGTGAGCGGCCGAGTGGGTTTCATGCTGTCCCTGTTATTCGAGGAACTGGGGAACAGAGAGGTTGAGCTCCTTATGATGATCACACAGACAGGAGCTGTCAGACCCTCAGGGCTCAGGGCCCGGGCATGCACCCTGAAGGGCAGGGACCAAAGAGCACATGCCAGGCCAGTAGTCCTCTTCCTGGTGAGGTCCTCCCTGGCCACTGTCTCTAGCTAAGTTCTGCTCTGCTTGCCAATAGAGTGAAGTCTGGGGAGGGGGCACAATGGGGGGGGGTTACCCCTGATTCCTGGCCCCCTCTCTGTGGACAGGTTCCCATCCAACCACTTTGGGACGCTGACAGGCCTGCAGTCTCTCATCAGCGCCGTGTTTGCCCTCCTCCAGCAGCCGCTCTTCATGGTCGTGGTGGGACCCCTGCGAGGAGACCCCTTCTGGGTGAGAGCCAGGGTGGGCTCAGGGCACAGGGAAGAGGGAGGGGGACTCGTATGTGATAGCATCCCTCATTCCGCTTATCTCAGCTGGGAGGCACCTCAGAGGCCTAATCTGGGGATTCCCAGGCTGGTGCCCATCAGAACTCCTTGTGGAGTGTTAAGAACGCAGGTCCCCGGCCTCCTGAACTGGCCTCTCTCAACCCGGCTCTGTTTTCAGTAAGCTCCCAGGTGAGTTGCACGGTGGGCCAGCCCTGATCCTCGAGCCCGTGTTTAGGAGCCCTGGTCCCTAAGGTCCTACCAGGGGTCTTCCCTGCAGCACGGATGTTATTCGATAGGCTTTCCCTTGCATTGAACTGACATCTGCCTCCCTGAAACCAACTTCTGTCCTGTGGGGCCTCCCACATCATAAATCCTCTTCCCCCAAGATCTGTGATGAAAGAACTGCTCCCGCTCCTGGAGAATTTGCTGTGTGCCAAGCACGCTGTGTACCTTTTGGCACTTAATCTTTGCCACAGTGGCCGAGAAAGAGGAGATGGCTGGCCCCGAGTCACACTGTGTCTTGTGGAGTGGAATGTGAACTCATTCACTCTCTTGGGCCTTGCAAGTCATCTGTCCCGCAGTCTGTCCATCTCCGTTCCTTTGCCCAGGCCTGAGAGCCGCTGCTCATCACCCCACATGGCATCCCATTGGCCAATATCCCATTGGCCCATGTCCCATTGCAAAGGCAGCCTGTCCACCGAGAGAGTGCCCCATTGTGTGGCCCCCATCCAGGCCCTGCCACTTACTGGACTCCAGGGTTTTCATCTCAGCCACTTGGCCAGGCTGCTGAGCATTAAATGAGATACTGGTGGAGCAGCGATCGCCTGCACTGAGTGCTGTTTCTCATTCTTCCCTAGGACTTGGAGCAAAAATGACTGCCTTCTCCTCTGCGTTGGTGGCTAAGGCGGGTCTCTGAGGATGGTGAGGTTTAACCAGCACATACTTGACTTTCTCTTTCCTTTCCCTAAAGGTGAACCTGGGTCTCTTGTTATTCTCACTTCTGGGATTCCTGCTACCTTGCTACCTCTTCTACTACCGTGCCCGGCTCCAGGGGGAGTATGTCACCCATGAGCCAGGCCCACAGAAGATGCTCAGCATCTCCAAGGGGGCAGCATAGACGTCTGAGGCCAAGAAACTGGATGACGGGAAACCAAGGCTTGAGAGACCAAAGGGAACACCCGGACGGCTCCCTACCTGTCACATGTGCATGGAGCCCGGAGCCGTGCATTTAAAAAATACCAAGAGAAGGTCTATTTTTATAGGGACTTGCAAAAAGGGGTGGGGATAACCTTCAGACAATATTTCCCAAAGCAACTCTCCAGGGACTGAAGAAGCCTGTGCTGGAGGAATTGGGCCTTCTTCCTTGGACAGAGGAGACCAAGGCGTGAGGCTGCCCTTTCTCCAGGCCTTTGTCCCAGGGGCCTCAAGGGTCCTGTCTTCTGGTGCCTCTGGAGGACTGTGGGGTCAGTGAGCAGGCTACCCCTGTGGCCCCAGCTGCCAGGAGTGTGAGTACCTGTGTGTGCTGTGACATACCTTCCCCCAGAGGAAAGGGGACTCAAGGTACTGGCTGTGTCCTGTACGGGGTGCGGGGACAAGCCCCTTGCAGGACTGGAGGGCAGGTTCCCTCTCTGGTGCTGCTGCTCTCAGATCCAAGAGGAAATAAAAAGGGAGCCGGAGACTGGCTGGCGTGTACCTGTGCTTTGGGGCAGTGGCGGGGCGGGAGGGTTGTCTGTCCCCTGTCCCTCCTCCCCCGGGCTCAGCGGGGCATTATGTAGTGTGCCTGGAGTGCCAGGCTGTCCTCGGGCTGTCTGGCTCACCTCCCCGTTCTCTCCCTGCCTTGAGTGCCGGGAGGAAGTCTGAATCTTGCCCCCTACTTCCCAGGGTTTGGGGTGCATCCAGGAAGCTGGCCTTTTTCCACACAGTGGATCAGAGAAGGATGCTTCAGAAAGAAAACTAACGGATGACTCAAACTTTCCCACCGAGGCATTTCTGGGGCTTGCTGAAAGCAACACCTCTTTGTAGTCTCCTATTTTATCTTAAAACTTCATGCAAATTTTAAGCTTTATGTTATGCTATATTTGCATTTGCTTTTTTTTTTCCGGTTCTGGGGATTGAACCCAGGGTACTGTATCACCGAGTGAGCTATGTCCCCAGTCCTTTTGTTCTATCTTGTTTTGAGATGGGGTCTTGCTAAATTGCTGAGGCTTGCCTCAAACTTGTGATCCTCCTTCCTGCCTCAGCCTCCAGATCCTTGGTGTCACAGGCATGTGCCACCATACTCAGCTATGTTACTTTTAACATTAAAGTGAGACTTTAAAATTATCCACATTGAGGGAAGACATCATCTTTGAGGAAAAGAGACCGTTCCGGAAGATGTAGCTCATTTACCCTGCACCTACTTGTGTTCCTGGGACATAAACCTTACCAATTAAAGTCACAGAATGGAGGGGCAACTAACTGTGGTTGAGGATCTGTCCGTTGTCTACAGTGTCTCCTTTCATCCCAACAATAGCACAAGAGGTCGATATTGTCATCCTGTTTTGTAGATTGAGGAACAAGCCCAGAGAGGTTAAGGCAGAAATCAAGGACACACAGTGGTGAGTGGTGAAGCTCATCATGGAACTCAGGCAGTCTGCCTGCAGAGTCCTAACCCAAGGCCTTCCCTGGCAATCAGGGGTGAAATGGAGACCCCAAGCTTCTTCCCAGTTATCAGCAGCCCTCTCTGGGCTGAGAGTGACCTTGACAGCCCTATCCATCCTCCTCTCCCCCATTTCTACTCTTGAAAAGGACCTGGGAGGTAGCATCCCGGATAAACCATATTCCCTCTGTCTTATTAAATTTTCTTGAGAAGTTAATGAAACAGACTGGCCCGCCTGTTTTCAATGGAGAAAATGTTCAGAGAGGTGTGAGACTTGACCAGGTCACACTGCACATCCCTGGCTGCTCGGAGCCGACTTCCAACATTGCCTTAGCAAAATACAGAGTTAGCGCCCACCAGGGGATCCTGCCGGTTCCCAGAGGCCCTGCCCGGATCTCACTGTGCTCTCCGGCCTTCCCCGTAGTGTGGTGAAGATTGAGCAAGAAATGTGAGATCCCACCGGATTCTGGGTGGGAAGCGGGGCGTGCGCGCCGGGTACCCGGTGCGCCCAGCAGGCGGCGCTGCATGGCTGTGGCTGGCGCAGCCTGGGACCCGGGCTGGGGGCGGTGAACCACCCGCGGAACCCCACACCCTGCCCACTAGTCCGCCCCTCCCGGGGCTCGGCCTCCTGAGCCTCTAACCTGGACATACTCTGCCCCTCCTTTGAGGTCTCCCCGTGTCTCCCCGGACCCCCAACCTTTCAAGCATCGTCTCCAGCCCCACTGCCCACCCCCACCATGGAAGGAAGGGGGTCTCAACGCTCCACCCTGCCCGGCTGAGGCTTGGGACCGGGTGGGCGATGCAGGCAGACCTTTGGGCCTCCTAGGAGAGGGGTGGCATCACTTTTCCTCTCCCGGGGATGGGGGGAGTTTGGGGAGGGGGCTGGGCAGGGGCGGAAGCGAGCTGGAGCCGTGTTTGTCGCGGCGCTGCGGAGTAGAACAGATGGCTGGGGAGGGGAGAGGGTGCGTGGCGGGGAGGAGGAGGGGTGCGGGGGCCGAAGGATGAGGAACGAGGAATTTCGACGCCCCGAGTCTCCCGGGAGAAGCCCCCGCCCTCCGTGTCTTCCCAGAAAGCGGGGCGGGCGGGAGCCTGCCTTTCCCCGCAGGGCTCCGGCCCCCGGCCCGCGGCCGACCCCCGTGCTCCGCCCGCCGCCCCAGGGCGCGCCCCTCGCCCCCGGGTTCCCACCGCGCGGCGGGCTGGCGGGGTCGAGGCCGTCGGGAGCCGCCCGGGGCGCAAGGGTTAATGGGGCCGCGATCCGGAGGACGAGGGGGCGGCGGGAAGTGGGCTCCCGGCTGGGAGCGAGTTCAGGGATCGCAAATAGCTAAGGGAAAACGTGTTAATTGGAACTTTATGCAGATGAGCTGGGACTGGGGGCTGGCGGGAGGGGGAAGGGACGGTCAGAGGGACGTCGGACGAGCTGGGCCCTGAGGGCAAGGGTGGCGGCTCCCGCCTGGGGACTGAGGCGCGACTGTCCCTAGACTCGTGCGAGGCACCTCGGGAGGGCGCTAGTCCTCTCTGACCCTCCGCCGCAGAAACCAGGGGTGGCCGTCTTCCCGGGCCCGGGCACCGGGTCCAGAAGTCCTGCCTCCGAGGAGAGGGCGGGGCGCACCTGCAGGTGCCCGTTTCGGCTACTGGCCGCTCGCGGGTCTCGCTCCCTCTGTCCCCCACCCCCCTCTCTGGTTACATCCTTTATCTCCACCCAGGGCGTCACCTTTTTTCCTTGCACGAGTCTGGTCCTTAACTTTCACCAGGTGCGCGGGGGTGGGGTGGGGGTGGGGTGGGTGGGGGCGGAGCTAACCTTTCTCCATCGCACTCGCCTTTCTGTCCCACGGGGACCACCCCACCTTCGAGGGGAAGTTTCTTCAACTTTGGAGTGCTTTCTAACCCACCCCCACTTGTTAAAATGCAGAGTCCAGTGTGCCTTAGAGATATGCTTCTGCAGGTTTGCGGAGCTCAGGAATCAGCTTCTCATTTAAATCGGATGCAAAGGGCCCCCCCCCCACCCTTTTTTTAGGAACATTGTACAAGGGACGAAGGTGGGGGTGGGTTTAGTGGCTCCTGCCACAGTCCCTACCCGCTCGCTGCCCTCAAGGTTCATGACCTGCCCTCCGCTCAGTGTGGCCGCTTAGTTTCCGGTCTAGCTTCGGGCACATCAGGAGGCCTGGGGAAGGTGCCAACTAGAAAGGAGGGAGGGATGGAGAGAGAAAGGGGTGGGTCTCCACCTGGCTTTTCCCTCTCTGAGCAGGGTCTTCTCCTTCCTTTCTGCGTTGTCCACTTCCACCAGCCTTGCCACGTTCTCCCTCCCTCCCTCTCTCATCTGAAGTCCCTAGGAAGACCCAAGTGTCTCGAGGTGGATGGTGGAAATAACTAAAGTCCTCACCTTCAAAAGAAGGAGGGCCCCTCTCTTGTTGGGAGAAAACAGGAGGAGGGAGGCAGGACTTGAGGAAGGATAATAATAATTCAGACAATGCAGGTCATCTTCCCATAGGCTATTGCACTTACTCCCCACAACAACTTAACCCGGCATAGCTGCCCCCACCCCCAACTTATAAAATGAAAATGAAAAATTACAAAAAAAAGATACCCTGATGTTCAGAGAGGTTAAATAATTTGCCCAAGGCCACACAGCTTGCAAGTAGGAGAGTAGTTAGGTCTGTCACCCTTCTACCCTCTCAAAACTGTTTCTCCAGGGGCCACTGGATACCTAGCTGTCCCAGGTCTGCCCTCCCTGTCCTGCCTCCCTGGGGTATTGGGGATGGGGAAGGGCATTGTATACACAGAGGAAAGGATATGGATACTCGGGTTTCGGAACATCTGACAGGTTTGGCTGGAGGCATTAAAAATTCATGTAGCAACCTGACCCCAACTGGACCTTGGGCCTGCCACCTGGACTGCCCCTGGCTCTGTGACCTCTTAGAGTTCCGTGGGCAAATTTTCCTTCTACAGTGTCCTGGGAGCCCCAAGTCTTTGTATTTCATAGGCGAGGAGCCCTCACACAAATTAGAGATCTAAAGTAGGGGGCCAGCCGCTCAGAAAGCAGGGCTGGGAGCTCTACCCCCAATCCGGGTGTAAGAACCTTAGAGGCTTAGAGGCTTAAAAGCTTATAAACCTTGTCATCTGGCGTCCTTCTATTCCTCTCCGTGGGCGATTAGATGCTCGCTCTCAGGTTAGGTTGGCTGAAACCCGGCTGTGCTTCCCAAGGTGGCCGTTAGGGGGCAGCCGTCCGCTTGGAGGAAGCCGAGGCCCCGCTGCTGTCTGCTGCTTTGAAGGGCAGCAGCAGAACCCCCAAGCGTGGTCAGAGGGATGCACATGTCTTGGCCTTGGGAAAGGCTCAGGAGTCTGAACTGGGGAGGTTTCCTAGTCTGCGGGGAGAGCAAGGAACGTTAGGGGGCATTCAAAGTAGGTTTGTGGGTTTCAAGTGCAGGATAACTGATGGCCAGCAGGACCCAAGCGTTCTTAGCTGGAGAGAAGGCTTGGGACACAGCCATGAGAGAAAAGGCTAGAAAAAGCAGAGGCCTGGGGACTCTGAAGAATGTCTGATGTTCCGCTGAGGTGTTTAACCTGTAGGCAATGGGGAGCCACTGGAGGTTCCTGAGGGACATAGTGGCCTAATGCAAATTTTGGCCAGATGACTCTGGTCACCAAGGGCAGGTTGGGTGAGAGGAAGGGAGAGAGGGACTGCAGCAAAATGAGTGCAGAGATTATTGCTGTTTTCTTTTACATTCCGAGCAGAAGGTCATGAGTAGCTGGAGCAGGGAAGTGGCGGGAAGGAAATGGAAAGGAGAGAGGGGCACTGGGTAACCAAATAGATACAGGAGACAGGGAAAGGGAGGCGCTGACTACAACCAGACTGGGTGTCTGGCAGATGACAAGAAAGCAGAATGGGGGCACACTCACCGAATGTGGGAGGCGAATGAGTTTCGAATTTCAGGAGGTTGGGGGAGTGTGGGACAAGTCCCTTTCCCTCTCTCTGGCCTCAATTTTCCTATCAGGGCACTGGTGGGGGTTGGGCTGGATGGCCTTGAATGTCCCTTCTATTTCAG